GATTACTTTCTCAATTTCTTTAGTGGCTATTTCACTTTGCCTTTCTGAATAAAACTTTTCCGCTATTTGCTCATCCTCTCTTCTTCCAACTTTCACTGCTCTTCCAAAACTTAGCTTGATACGCTTGTGATCACTACCGAGAATTCTGGAGCCACCTTCATCTATGTGCATTCCCCTGAGCTCATCATACATCCTATGTGACATCAGTGCGTAATCTATGGTCGACTGCAGCCTTCCTACCTCCCATGTTCATTACCCTTCACACTTCTCGGTACTGTTGCAAATTATCAAGTCAAGTCTTTCACACATATCCATGATCATTTTGCGTGTCGGTTCAGTATACACATCTATATATTCTATGTGCGCATTCATATATCCTTGTATAATTATCTCGTATTCTCCTCCTAACTACTGAATGTTCTTTGATATCACTCTACCATTGCCTGGTTTTCCTCTCTGGCCTTTGCGCCCGTCCACAAGTACACAAAACCAAGGACTGACATTGGCCCTGCCACTTTCCCTTTTAGCCATGAATGCTCCTTGCACTCCTGCTTCACCGTTTGCCAGTCTGTACTTTTATGAATTAATACCCCAATACCACCCCTATTTCTGCTCCTTTCTGTTCTAATAAAATATTCTCACACATAGTACGGATATTTAGGAGGTTATTACGTGCCCCTGAGATGTGTTTCTACAAAACCGTATACCATCGGCTTCTCCTTCCTTAGCTGTTCTTCTATCTCGTCCCACTTCAGCCTGTTCCTCCCACCCTGCATGTTAATATACCCTATGCCTGAATTGGCTCGGCGCTCGTGGCTACGTCGATTTCTGCGCCGGACTCTACCTATCTTAGATGCTGGTGCCATTTTGGAATCGTATCTGTCCATACCACTTGTCAAAGAGTCTCCCAAGTTGTTTTCCTCGTTACAAGCTATCCTGCACCCCGAAGGGCCCGCGTTCCCCCCCAAAAAAGCTACTTCACGTCCTGCAAGTCGCCAACCCACCTCATGATCTAGCCGCCCATCGAAGTGAATTCTGTCTCGTTGAAAACCACCCCACCTATGCACCTCTCTATTTATTTCCACCAACTCAAAGCTTTTCTCTCGACTCATCTTCATTATCTATTACTTTGCGTTGACAACCGTTCTTTGCAGGCTGCTGTCACGTACCGGTACCTGCGGTATCGTGCATATCACTTCCTGTACCTGAGGAGAAATGGCACACATGTCATCGACGCCTTTCGCCATTGTGGTTGCTAGTTCTGCTGTATCTTCATTTAAGACATCGTTTAAACTGCCTGAAGTTATCACGGGGTTTCGTATATGAGCTGTAGTTTTGAGTTTTTTGCTCCCTTGCATCATGACTGCTTCCAGCTTGCGTCCTGAGAAAGCCCCTACTGCAACCCTCTTGTCACGTCTTACCCTCTCTTTGATGGCTTCTGTGCATCGATTTAAATTTGAGTCCCCGGCGATTATTACATGCTGTGACTTTGCAGCTGGAGTGTCCTGCACCCTCTCTAGGAAGGTTTCTGTGCATCAATTTGAATTCGAGTCCGTGGCGATTATCACATGCTGTGACTTTTCAGCTGGAGCGTCCTGCACCTGGGGGTTACTTGCACCTTTGACGCTGGCTGCTTTGTCCCCTCCCCGCCACAGCACTACTTCGCTGAAGCTGGGTCTTGCGACAATTGAACCTGCTGAACCTGTTTTTTGCAAACTTGCTTGTTCTTTCTTCTCCACCTTTCTGGTTGCCGGTTTCCTACTGTTTTCTCCGTAGGCCGCTCCTCTGTTCACCTTGGCTAGTGCGTCCTCAGCGGACTTCAGTCTTTCTCCCATTGCGCTCGTTTTCTCTGTCTCTGTCGCCAAACTAGTCTCGAGCTCAGTGATTCTCATCAGCAGTTCACTCTGGGCAACCATCATTTTCTCCAATTTCCTCGACCACACCTTGTCTACACTTCGCGTCAGCCTTTTCTCCATCCACTTCTACGCTTGGGTTCAGTTTGAAACCCACTCCGCATCCTGAACACTTTACAGTCTTTTTAACCATGTCTTTCTGACACCAATTGTCACTATGACTTGTCTCACTCGATAATTACACAATTAGAGCCCTGCCCTACGAAAAAAGAAAGTCTAAGCTTTACGACAACAGTTTGCGTGTTCTATGTACGTGCACCTCCCCCACGGGGTGGCCAAATAAACAACAAAAACCAAAAAATCAAACACACACACGCACAAACTAATAAATACCTGGTGATTGACCCCCGGGAAAGCCGTACAATAAAATAAGTGGTACAAAGATTTTAACTGCTGTCTTATAATTATAAAGACAAGCTCAATACATGCAAAACCACGCATCTGCGCAGCCGATCGGGAGCGCTTAAAAAACACGTTCATCCACCGTGACAGTCCGAACCGAGCACGAGGAAGGCAAGGCACCACCCCATGGATCGATACACAACTAAATGAAAAATTCTTTGTTGTGATTTCCCTCGTGAGGCACTGCATGAGGGGGCTCCGTCCCCGATGACTAAATCACGGCCAGGTGGTGGGCGAGAGCAGAAAAGGGCTAAAAGGAGATGGTGGTGAATGGCTGGATCGGGCACATCTGGCTGGCAATAATGAAATAGATAGAGGAGGCCTTGGTTTTATCATGGTACACGTCACGGTCGGCGGAGCAGTAATGCAGTGTCCAGCCGCTCTGCCACTCCTTGCACATCCTGCAAACTTTTGCTGTAGACAGTACATTTCTTCCTGACAATTTCGTGTCACCTTCACGTGTTGCTGTGGTCTGGAAGTTTCTGTTCTTCTTGATCCGTGCCTTTCCGATGTGTTTTTGTAGTTTTCCAGTCTATTAGTTCATGTTCGTGATGGGTGTTTGTTCTTTCTTTTGTGTAGTTTTCCTGGATATGTCCTAGTCTACGAGCTTGGTCTGGGTGACGATTGGTAACAGAACTGCGTATCCGAATCTGACGCGGACATTCGGCTGCGATAACAACCTTGATTTTACGAAGGTATTCTGCCATGTAACCTGCCTCACGTTCTTTCAGTGGGTGAAGTCTTGAGAGGTATCTGTGTTGACACGCACGCCAATCCTCGGATGAGATGAAGGTTCGTTAAGGGTCGTTAGATACGCCTGCTCTATGACATGAATAAGATCCCTCCGCTTCTCTGTGCTGTAAAGTTACCCACTCTCCCTTGCTTGTGAGGTGTGGTAAACTTTTTAAAAGCCTACGAATATCCGCAATGTTGGCTGTTCTATACATCAGCCAATCGAACTTGTTTTCTGTCCTTTTTTACAGATTTGCTTGGGACGTTCAGAACGAAGGTGCTGTTTTCTTTATCATTTGGCAGAATTAAGTTGATAAGAATGTGACTAATGTCCATGACATTTTTCTCTTGTTGGACGGTGACTAGACTCATACTAGAGAGCGTGGACATGGGAATATTTTAACCTTTGCCCTCTGGTTTTGACTGGTGGGTTGTGGAGACGGTCAGTTTGGCGTTGCAGAGAGTGCCTTGAAGAATGACATCTGCATTTTTTTCCACGTTTTCTGTGGCACCTTGCCTTAACACCAATCGTTTCTTCTGAAAGCCATGGCAGTGCCACTGCCAAATATGCGGGCTCAATTTCGTTCATAACCATCATGTACAGACGTAGTGGAGCACCGGACGTTGCATCCTTTGCCAGCGGGTGTCAACTGAGGTAATGGGCCACCGAGGTTGGCCTGGTAGGATATGCTTGCTTGTGAAGCTGGTGACATTTGCCGCCACTGTGTGTTATATCCGCTTTTCAAATTCATGAACACTAAAATTAGGGTTTCATGATGATTTTCAAAGTTTCGGGCTTGTACTGTCTTTTCTATTGCATTCATTCACGTTACCAAATCCTCAAACTTTTTGTCCATTTTCTCTGATAGCTTCATGATCATTTGCTTTAAAATGCTTGTTTTATATGTGAATGCTGTACAAAAAATTGTATTGTTATGCAAGGTAAGGGTATCAGCTGCTCTTGGACCCGATTTCAAGTAACTCACCAAAACGCTGATTTAGGAAGATGTGGCTGCTCTGGAGGAAAATGTTGCGCCAGCGACTAAGCCCTGGATTGACGCCCTCTCCTCTTCCTTCACCCGCCCTTCTTTCATGGTGCCAAGGAAAGACAGTCGGGGCCTTTTGTCTCTGGTGCAGGAGTCATCGACTGCAGACGACGCACGCGAGGTCATCCTAGCGTGCACCCTTTGAGCCACGCAGATGGTCGACTGGTTTCATCGCTGTTTCCGCCTCATTCGTCCCAAGCACTTGCGTGCTTTTGCAGGTATATAGAACATACGATGTGCATGGTGATGTTTACACTAAAGATGGTGGTGATGGCAAAAACCAGCGTAATGAGAGTCACCATGTAATTGCGATCTCAGTAAAAGTCCCCACTGGCGCATTGATTGGCGTGGCACCGTATTCTGTGAAGGAAGACCGGGGGAATTTTGGTGCATAAATTTAATAAAGAGACTAGAACAGTGCACTTGCCAAAATACCCTTGTTTTCAGATTATTAGAATATGTGTTGCACTACAAAACTCAATGACACGAGGTCGATTCCCGGCTACTGCAGCCGTATTTCGAGAACGCCTCAATGCGTATAGCACCAGCGTACTGACGTTCAAATGCTGTCAATCGCCAAGGCCTGCATCGCCGGGACAAAATTGAAAAGTATTTCTTTAACAAAGGAAAGGTTTACATTGAAAAAAAAGCGTTATCTCTAAAGACAAGCAGTTGAAGTTGCAGTACTGTTTTTGCTCGCTTGCAGAGCAGTGTGTTTGGTTCTATAACCTCCTACGAAAACATCTAATCTGTACAGTTCACGTGAGTTGGCTTCCTTCTCATTTAAGCTGAGTGAGCCGCGCTCACGTGCTGAAGCGTCAATACTGTCGCACTTATGAACTATGCGTGAAGTATTACTATTTCATACAAATGAGCGATTGCGTTGACCCAAAATGGCGTGGCTTACTTGAACAAGTAGCTGCGTATGTCCATTTCACTAAGCGGTCGTAGGTGGCTGGTGGTGTTGGTGGCCACTTTTACTATAATTAGTACCGGAACACAAATCGTGAGCATCGCCTGAAGACAATCAGCCCACACGACGCCACGTATCCCGCCCTTCAAAAAATAAAAAGAACAGGCAGATCACACTGTTATGGTAATGTTCATAAAACAAAAGCACTTCGACCTGTGTGCAAGCTACACCTCTCACTATATATACTGCGCTCGCATTTGACGCCCGTAAGGTGAACGTATTTGTATAAAGATAGTAACTGCCCTAGCGATTGGCTACTCATTTGCAAAACCCGAATGGTGTCCATAGCGACGATATTTTTTTACACTGAAACAAAGGTTGTATTACTCAGCTAAGAAATTCTTGCCTGGTAGAGAAATCTCAACTGGGAGATATTCCAAACTGACGGGAAACAAAGCGGCCTTTTCGTTTTGCACCGAACACAGAAAATAAATAATGTAGGTTATGCTCTTTTAGTACTTGAAAGCTGACTTTCACAAAAAGGTGTAGTATATATAATAATATTCAGGTTATTCAGAGAAATACGCAAATATTTTTTCACTCATAGCATTTGTCGTTCAGAACATATTATAAACACACGGCATGGCTCAGCAAATTTTATCAGATAATTCGCGCCTGTATTTTCGAATTTTCTGAACTGCTTCAAAATTCGCCAGCAACCCAAAGTAAATAGAGGCACACTACTACATCGTATTTTGTCCACTATAACAGGTGAGATGGTCTTCAATACTTGTTTGTCGCTGTGTTAAACACATTTTACTGCTTTATTCTGAGTTAGCAAAAAATAACGTATAACTGATTCTTTTTTAAGAATCGTGGTATAAGAAGAAAGTGAACCATGTCTTCGCAGAAGCAGTGGAGCGTTTGTTGTGCAATGTTCACCCACAAGGAAGAAGAAATGGATGCTACAGAAACAAATTGCAATGCCACGTGAAGAACGGGAAGCAGTTTGAAACATTCTGCCTACACTTCAAGTAGAAAGCACGCACAGTGTGAAAACATACCGGGTGAGCGACGATAAATGTATGTCACAGCTCCACACTTAAAGCACGTGGCTCAAACAAAAAGAGAGATGCATGAAATGAACACAACAGGGATACGCAGGATGAGCACGACCAACTGTGACAACGCTTACTTTATCGTGTGTGAGCAGCGCGCTCCTTTTGTAAACGCCGCTGCGACAGACAGTGAAGTGAACTCTGTGCTCTCTTTATACACTGTGACTTTAAAGTACACTTGCAATACAAACACAAGAGGAAGTACCAAGTGCTCAAATCCCGAGGTATTCTCGCACGCACCTGATAACGCAAGGGCTGATGACCTTTAGAAAAGTGCGCCGTGTTGTTGCTGATGACCAAATGTGTGGAACTTGCTGAGCCCTGAGGACCGTGAACGGTGCATGATATATCTAAAAAGAACGCCGTTAACAAGCTTACCAACGTACGCGTTTCGGCGTATCGGTTTGCGCAGCATGCTGTGAAGCGAAAGGATGCCCCGCGACGAAACATTTCCGTCTAATTTACTTTTCTTTTTCAGCGTGTTCGTACATATGTTACAAGGCCACTTTGACGGAAATACGTCCGCTGAGACGTGGTGGAAACAGGTATCAAACATCTTTCGATTAAAAATTGGGTAGTCGAATGATTGTGGAAAGCATTTTAATGTGAAGCAAACATGGAGTGGTAGCCTCTGTCCATATTTCTCACTGTTAGCCGGGCTTCACGAGGTAGATCCACGTTTATGACTTAGATGAGTAGTGCGCTTATGGTGGGGTCGTCCAGCAAACTGGCCTGATCATAGCGGACCAGTGCTCATTCTACGTTTTTGCCCTCACTCCCAGCATCGATTAAGCAAACATACCAACTTTTCATTCTATTTTTGCACATACACCTAGTGAGCGCCTCCTCTATTTTTTTCAATGCCCGGGCGAACGCTCCCTTCGGGTCGTCGAGCGCGCAATCCTCCTCCGCTCACCGCTGCCGTATGCTGGCGCAGCGCGAGTAGAGTAGGGGATGCTGGCGCTGAACGGCCGCACGTATTAAGAAGCTCGCTAACTCGCGTTTTCGTGCGAAGTAATTTACAGTCGTTTTTATTGACGGCTTCATGGATGCAGGGAAGATGAAAAGTAACACAAACATAGCAGCGCGCTGTTTTCACCGGGCTCTGTCAGGCCGTGCTAGCTGTTCGATATATGCTTTTGCGATTTATTTTCTTTTTTAAGCTATTGAAACCCCATTATTTGCATGCCTCAATATACAATACCACTCTGTACCACACTGCATATCTGACAAAAAAAACAGATTGTCCTTTTCTTCCATTTGTGATTAGTTAAAAAAAAGAACTTACTGGTCCTCCTATTGAATCACCTGAGACGACTTCTTTGTTTGTAGCGTGGAATCCATGGCACACACGCACTCTGGGGGATTGTTCGAGAGAACGTATAGTATTCTATAGATAGTAACTGCACTACTGTTTACGAAAAAAAAAAGAAATGAAAAAGATGTAGAAGGAAAACTTTACAAAAAACAAAAATTCAGAGAGTGAAAAAAATTTACAGCCACTAATATATTGACTATATCTTCATTTTCAGAGCTTACCAGACAGCTGAGTGTGCCAAGCCCGAATAATTTGGGTTGTATGTGTAATAATTATTGACATTGCGAAAAGTAATTGAAGACTGCTGTTTTTGTGTATTTTTTAACCTTTTCACTACTGACCCTGTATTGAATGAAAAAATAAACTTTTTTAAAAACTTTTATTGAATACCTTGCCCATAGTTCATAACCAAAAAAGCAATAAAAATTCAGTTATTTCAAATAATTCAGGAATGTCCACACTTGTGGACAAAAATTGTCAACGTTGTAAAAAACGCGTCCACATATGGGCACACTGGTTGCCAGCAATGTGGAGCTGCAAGGAACAGTTTTTCCCGTAAATACACAAGAAAACATTACATTTGGTGCACTTCATTCTTGTTTTGTCATTGCAGCTCCCGTTTCTGCACCGCATTGCATTTTTTAGGTTGCACAACTCTCTGAAATGGTCATAGGGATCAATACGTATGTCAATATTCTGTAACTAAATAGGCCTTGAGTTGCATGTTGTGAATGTGTCATTCTTTCTCTTGCTCTTACGCGTCGGATTCCCCTTGATCAGAGTTTCCGCAATATCTTGCTTTAACTGAAGGAGGGAAGGCAATTCCTTTTTTGTTGGTGGGCTGGAAATTTCAGGTTCAGGCTCATCTCCAGAATCACTTATTTTCTCCTCCTCGCTTACGGAAAGAGAAAAGTCACGTTTATCTTCATCGTCTGACTCAGAGAGACCCACATCACTTTCCTCTAGCATGGCAGAAATCTCTTCATCTGTCAGGAACCTGGCTATTGAGAGCAAACCAAAGAATGCTCTACACACGTACACAACTTTTAAACACAAACGTGGACCATTGTAAACACACATCTCGCGCGTCAACGGAAGTAAATACCGTCTGAGTAATAGCTTATTATGCTTCAATGGTGTGCAAGTTCCACGCGTGAGCACAAAGTTTCGCATTGTAGAGCACAATAGCCGAAAACTTCCTCTGGGTCACCACAAGCCGCTAGAGCTATTTGCCACCATTTCAACTTTTGACCACAGCGCTTTTAAACGACTGGTGCTGCTTTCTGTCGGTGATTGTGAAAACTGTACGCCGGTCTTTCAAGCGCGCCAAATTTGAAATATCTAAAAAAAGACTGAATACTGTCCCTAAACCGTTTCTTTGGTGAAACCTAAATCCAGCTTCGCAAACGCAATAGCTAGAAGTATGTTACTAATTACTGCGTAGTTACGACGCGAGACAAAACAATCTTCATTAGTTTCCGTTTCAAAGGACAAAGAGGGGAAAATGTCAGACCAGCTCTGTGTAAATAAAAGTTTTATGAGGGAATAAGGCACCGGAACCTGGAGATAACTTGTTTTTTTGACGGACTTCACTAAGAGTTTCATGAAAATTGGTTATGACTGAAAGTCAAAAGCTGCACTCGTTTTCTTTCAATTCAATGCACTAAACGTTTCCTACCTCCCTCCGGTAAATTTCTGTGCCTTACATGGTTTTCTTACTGCCTCGAGGACTGGAGACAAAGCTAGTTCCTTGCCCCTCAGCTGATTATGCACTGCCCTCAAGATCGGCGCAATTCAACCAAGCGAAGATGTTATATGATGCCGTCAAGTTGAATGACCTTCCGATACATGACAAACATTTATGATATGGGACGTCATATGACGACGTTTTCACGTAATGGAGATTTTTTGCATTATTCGTGTTCACGCCGCTTACGCGAGTAGACGCCGAATGGCGCCGGCGATCAACTTTCGCTTTTGATGAGACATATAAAGCTATCGCCCCAATGCACTTTAAGGCTGTATATCGGTGAAATCGCAGCTTCCGCTGGTGTCTGTGGGAGCGCGCTTGCAGTAATCAGGCAGGAAAATTGGTCTCCTAATAAATCTTAGTACTACACCTGAATATGTACCCGTCAATCACAGCCCCAGTACTTTAGAAATTATGAATAGTGGCGGCCGAAGACTACCCGTCACGTTAAGCAACATGGCAGTTTGAATCAATAAACGTGGGCGGGCTGCATCCTAACATTCAAAACGGGACTGTATCCGTAGCAACGCTGCCTCACGACCACTGCCGTGTGTAACGCTAACATAACGGCCCGAAGCTGAATGGTGACCCATGGGCACCACACAGCTATTTGGCTTCTACTTTGCTTGTAAAGAATTAAGATGCCAGAGGGAAGCAGAAAGAAACAGAGCTGAGCAGCCGGATATTAAGGCTACAACAGTCCGTCCACGAATGCACAGAGAAGCTCAAGCAACTGACCACAGGCTGCATTTTTCATGCCTGTCACCTTTCTCAAATTGAGAGTCGGCTTTAGTCTTCAAACTTTAACAGCGCCTGTTCAAAAAACAGCTAGGCAACGATCGATCACTGAAATTGCGCTGCATATAGAGCTGTTTTTGACTATTTCACGATGATCGCATTATATAGGCTCTCAAATGGTTAAAGCACCTGCCATAGTTCCTATATTTTGAGACTTGC